AGGGCCCCATTTATTTAGATATTCAATTTTTAGCAGGAAAAGCAGGTTATACAAATCATCATAAGACATTATTGATATTGTTTAAGTTAAGTAACTTATTTTGATTATAAACGAGATGAACCTATATATTTGTATAATAGTGCATGTAAATTTTAAGATAATGCATGGAAATAGACTTACTCCGGAATAAAGAATTATTTGAATATTTTGGTTTTTCCCGGCTGATCTGTAGGTACAAACAAACTTACAGTTACAGCTTTGAAAATAAGCACAACGGGTGACCTAGTGACAGGTAGTGTTACTTACAGATTAGCTGGGAAAAACCCAAAATTTGCAGAGTTTCCAGTTCCAGGTTCTATTGATAAACCTTTCTTTAGTAATAGGATGGTGTTTGCTGGGGTAATATTATAGCTGAAAGTACCTGGGAAAAAAACACATGCAAAACCAATGCATACTAAGTCATTAACAATAGTGAGAAGTAAGAAGAATATTAGTTAACAGATTTTGTACTTATAGACAAGCAGGTGTCTTATAATGATTTTGTATTTCCAGCACCATGCTAACTCCATTTATATAAAAGACTAGATAGTAATTATCCATCCAGATAAATGATTTTGAACATCTGCCAATAGTCCTAGAGCCAAATATTGCAACAAACAACTGTGAAAGGACTTTATTATGTTATAGTTTTTATTTGGGAAGTTTATGTAAGATATTCATTACAGTAGATTGCAATGATAGCCACTGTTTGAAATACCACAGTTTTTATTTTTTTGCAGTCGGTTCATTTCATTATGAAAATGGAGCAAGAGTTGATTCCGAGATTGCAAAGAAGTTTCTGGCTGACATGATTATATTCCCCATTTATGCAAATAATATGATTTTCATTATAAGGGTACTTAAAGGCTTATGGGGGTAATAAAACTTAAATTTTTGGGGCATTCATAGGTCTTTGACTCAACCACTTCCTCTCCCCAGGGGTTTTTGACCCACACGGCATCCTTAATTTTCTTTATTAAGAAACTATGCAGTCAGCTTATCAAATCAGTATTCTACTGGGGGGTGTGCCTAAAAAAAGGCACAAAAGGACACTTTAGATTTCCCTCAACATAAGTAAAGGGGAAATTTTTTTGTTGCCACCTGCCCTATTGTGAGGGAAACATAAAACCCAAAACTAAAAAACAAAGACACAATAAAACATGTTTAAAATGATCAATTTATTCCATACATGGTATTTAATTTCCCCTTTAAAGGGAAAAAAATGAAAATATTTAGTACTGATGAAACAAACGCACTTGCCGATCATGTTTTAGCAGGCTGATCTTGTTCTTTTGCTGGTTTAGGGTTAGACTTTGATACTGCCAGCAAGCTAAAACTAGGTCACAAATAAGAAAATGCCGCCGGGCGGCGTCTGTTTCTCCAAACAATCGCAATATCGGCAGGCGTCCGTCCGGCGGACAGTGATAATCGGACGGCAGCAGCTGAAAATTTTTGCTCATCGGCGCGGGTGCCTTCGGTTTTAAGTAATTTTAAAGCTAACGGCGGCCGGGATAATTTTTGGGGTCACTGAGTATAAGTATCATCGAGGGGACATCGTTCGGTCGCCGGGCGCGACCGGGCGATAAATTTTTTGATCGGGCGCTCGATTTTTTGTCTACTTAAACAGCGTCCGATTTAAAAGGCGTCCGGGCGGACATCGGCCGGGCCCCGCCGCGTGCTGCCTGAATAGAGACAAGTAGTCAAACGATTATCGCTGGTACCCGGACGATTCATGTACAGGCACCGGGCGGGTCATCGTTTTGTCATCCGGCGACCGGGCTGCTTGTGTTTGTTGTAATTTTAGCTTGAAGAAGTTGTAATTGCCTCAAAATATATTTTTGAATTTCTTTTGAATACTAGTAAAGATGAATTTTTCTTCATTGTCCATGCGAATGTCTGATTGATTTTCGCCTTCTACGGCCTCGATACTGGTCGTTGGTGACTCGTTGTCAACAACACGGACCAACTCCTTGGCCTTCCCCTTGGCTTTGGCAGCTGACTTCTTTGCTGGTATAATTACAACTAGCTGATTTATCTAGGATGTCATTAAATGTAAAGTCATTGTCGCCCGGCGCCCGCCCGGCAACCGTCCGATTCACTTTTAAATCGCACAGGCGCTGTACGGACATGCGGGCGGCGACCGCCTGATCCGTTCAATTCTTTCTGTAAAATCTACTCGGCAAAAATCGCCCGACGACTGTTTCATTCATGACCACGCAAGGTATCAGATTTAAAATCGCCCGGCGTCCACGACATCAAAAAATCTGCCGATTTTATAAAAATCGTTTAATTGGACGGCGCCCGTTTTATTTGTGACCTAGGCATAAATGATGAACCTTAAAATAGCTATAAATTTATACAATCTAACTCTTTACTTAAATTGCTCACGAAATCATTGGCTTTTGCAGTTTATGACAAAGATAAAGGAATAATGCCAATAAAATATAGTTATTTTAGAGCATAATAAATTTGAAGTTACAGTCTCAAATTTCTATGAATTAGATGTATCACTCATGATTCCTAGGTTTATCCAATAACCAAGGTCATGGTCACAATACCGTACGTTTATTTTATTGTATTGAAAATAATTTCTAAAAAAATTGGCCTTACATGTTTTTGAAAAAAAACATGGCAGACATGTAATGGTAATTAAATGCATTAAAAATTTATTGTTTCAATTTTTTCTTTAAAAAAAATAAAATAGCACTAACTAACACTAAAGTGTCCGACTTTGCTAAATGCTTGAAACTAGTTGTTTTTATGTACTTGGATAGTGAAAGTAAAATGTCAAATCTATTACTGTCTGTCACAAGAAAAGTGCTGTATATATTAATTATTTTCTCTTATTTTGATTATATGTGTAATTATATATGAGGAATATGACTGTAATTTGTTCAGCCCCCACATACGCATCCTTTTATAATAGGCCTGTCATTATGATTTCCTGTAATAGGGTACAGAGCTTCAAACAAATTAAAATTTTAAACTTTAAAAGGAAAAAAAAAAGTTTGTGTCTAAATATAGAAACATATCATCGGGAATTAAGGCTAGGTTTAACTTAAGATCAGTGCGTGCTTAAGGTACTGTACAATTATTTCTGTTATATAATTTTCTATTTACAAATGTTATATTGTAAGTTAATGACAATACACTTTTGAAACAAATGCGAGTTACGATTTTATTTTGTACCAAGAGGTGCAGGAAAAAAACCCAAAAACAAACAGAAATTTATTTAAGGAAAAATATTCTTATTGCTGTCGCTATGGTTTCCGAATTGTTCATGTGAATTGTTCAAGGCAACAAGTGGTAATAAAAATATGATCTTTTAGATAAATGTGCATTAGAGCATTATGCTTTTGTGAGGTTAAAAATATCATTTAATTTTTATAAGATTTTCTTCTATTATGATCAGATACAGTGAGAGATAGTGAGTCAAGTCCATCTCTTTCAAATTTATGGACTTAAAACCATTCATTATTTTAAGGGAATTTTTCAAAATATTTACTGACTTAGATTTAAGTGAACTATGCAGATCATTGTCAGTCTGCGTGGATGTTTTATAAACTTGCTGGATTTCTTAAATGGACTTGTCTAGCTTCAGTATTTGGAACTTTCCATTATCAATTTTGGGGATATTAATGAAATAATTAAGAGGAAAATGTAAAGTTTGTCAGGCTTTATACTGATGGCCAAGGCTAAATTATCACTTTGCGTTCAAGAAATTCAGTGACAGTGTTGGTTATTGAACTCAACACACATAACATCTTAAGAATCCTTGAATATACATGTATAATGAAACAGAAATATAGAAATTTGTACATATATTTATTAAGTCACACAAATCAGTCTTATTTAATTCAGCACATGAATAAAATTAATTAAATATTTTATTGAAAATCTTTTATTGGAGCTCTTCGAAAACTGAAATTAATGATTTTGGTCATGGATTGCAAACTACAGAGTTTCGTAATAATGGTATTATTTGGATTGCTATAGCAAATTGTTTGTAACACATGTCGTTGTAAGTGCAACAAATGAATGGATATGTTTATAATGTTTATATATTTTATGTTTACTACGTACTGAATTGTGTATACTGGTATACTCCAAGTCATTGAGAGCTTGTTTTATTGGATGAACACTGGCCTATTTTTGGTATTAAATGAGAGATACTTGTTTACGTTTACTTATTTATCGTGTACGTTTACTTATTTATCGTGTGGGGGAAAATCCAAAAAAGATATTGAGAAGTTTAATTTTATATGTGACATAAGATAATGATTGGAGTGGATTTTAATATTGATGTGAAAAAGTTGTAGTTTGCATTTTCATGCTGTGAAGTTGACTGGAGTGTCTTAGATATAGTGATTATTATAAATTGGATTTATACATGTATATGGTATATGTATTTTCATTTCAAAATCTTGAAAATGATTGTGTATTATTTTTATGAAATTCATTACTAATCTTAGAAAGTTATTCAAGTGCATAGTATTAGGTAATGATTCCGGTGTTTTTGTTGTTGTTGTTGTTGAAGGATAGTTATATTTACCATGCATGGCCGGTTAAGCCCATAAAAATGTTGAAGTATTTGATTCATACATTTTCAGGCTGTTTAACTTAATAAATCAGTTCTTTTTATGCCACCGCAGCATCTGCGATGCGGTGGCATATAGCGATTCACCTGTGTGTGTGTGTGTTTGTGTGTGTGTTTGTGTGTGTGTTATATAGATTATATAGTGAACTTAAAAAATCTTCTTGTGAAAAACCACTAGTCCAATTTCAACCAAACTTGCCAGGATTGTTCCTTGGGTAAAGGGCTTCCAAAGTTGTTCAAAGAATTTCATTCCATGCAGAAATCTGGTTGCCATGGCAACCAAAAGGAATTATAAGAATAAATTAAAAAAATCTTCTTGTAAAGACCCAAAAGGCCTAGAGCTTAGATATTTTGCATAAGGCATTGTCTGGTAGACCTCTAACAAGATTGTTCAAATTATAGCCCTGGGGTCAAAATTGGCCCCGCCCCGGGGGTCATTGATTTTCACTATGTACATATAGTAAAAACTTAAAATACCTTCTTGTAAAAAACTCAAAAGGCCTAGAGCTTAGATATTTTGCATAAGGCATCGTCTGGTAGACCCTTACCAAGATTGTTCAAATTATAGCCCTTGGGTCAAAATCGGCCCCGCCCCGGGGTCATTGATTTTCACTATATGTACATATAGTAAAAACTTAAAACACCTTCTTGTAAAGACCCAAAAGGCCTACAGCTTAGATATTTTGCATAAGGCATTGTCTGGTAGACCTCTAACAAGATTGTTCAAATTTTAGCCCTGGGGTCAAAATAGGCCCCGCCCCGGGGGTCATTGATTTTCACTTAATGTACATATAGTAAAAACTTAAAATACCTTCTTGTAAAAACCCAAAAGGCCTAGAGCTTAGATATTTTGCATAAGGCATCGTCTGGTAGACCCTTACCAAGATTGTTCAAATTATAGCCCTTGGGTCAAAAGCGGCCCCGCCCCGGGGTCATTGATTTTCACTTAATGTACATATAGTAAAAACTTAAAATACCTTCTTGTAAAGACCCAAAAGGCCTAGAGCTTAGATATTTTGCATAAGGCATTGTCTGGTAGACCTCTACCCAGATTGTTCAAATTATAGCCCTGGGGTCAAAATAGGCCCCGCCCCGGGGGTCATTGGTTTTCCTTATATGTATATATTAAAAAGTTATAGTAAAAACTTCAAAAAAAATTCTTCTAGCAATTGACAAATGCTAGAGGTTAGATATTTTGCATGAAACATTGTGTAGTAAACCTCTAGCAAGATTGTTCAAATTATAGCCCTGGGGTTAATTGATTTCAATATATACATATAGTAAAAAATCAAAAAATCTTATTGTCTGAAGGTACAAGGCTTAGAGCTTTATCATTTGTTAAATAATATCATCTAAAGGTACTCTACAAAAGTTATTCAAATTTTGCCTCTTGTGTCAAAATTAGCCCCGCCCCCGGGGGCCATAGGTTTTCCTTATATGTATATAGTAAAAACTTAAAAAATCATCTTCTCTAAATATACAAAGGCTAGAGTTAAGATATTTTGCATGAAACATTGTGTAGTGAACCTCTTGCAAGATTGTTCAAATTATAGCCCTGGGGTCAAAATTGGTTCCGCCCCGGGGGTCATTGATTTTCATTATGTACAAATAGTGAAAAAAATAAAAAATATTTTTGTCTGAAGGTACAAGGCATAGAGCTTTGATGTTTGATATATAATATCATTTATAGGTCCTCTACCAAAGTTGTTCAATTTTTACCCTGGTGTCAAAATTGGCCCTGCCCGGGGGCAGTGATTCTCATTATGTACACATAGTAAAAACAGAAAATAAAACAAATGTTTTCTGAATGGGAGAAAGCTATAGCTTAGATATTTGACTTGAAATGTCGTTTGGTGGACCTGTCTCAAAATTGCTTTGAATTAAACCCTTGGGTCAAAATTATGCCTTGCCCAAGGGGACAGTGACCTACTTTCTTGTCCTTTGATGTACAGCAATGACATTTTGACCATGTGCACAGTTTTAGTTGTAAAATTGAACTTTGAAATCAGGTGACCTAGATTTTGATGATGTGACCTACTTTCTTGTCCTTTGATGTACAGCTATGAAATTTGAACCATGCGGTGGCATAGCATTTTTCTCAAATGCAATCTTGTTTAAGATTCTACACCAGTCCTAACAACTTTTCCACATAATTGTTTGGTTGAGGACTGTTTAATTGTATCACACAAGTTAAATCTTATCAAATCTTCAAACCTGAATGTCCAATATATCTGCTATGTGCACAAAATTTTCTGTACAAGAGGAATGTGAATTGAGTTTCAGGGTTCACTATAAATAGAAATCATTGATATTTATTCCTGGACATGTTGTATACAATGATTAAAGCTCATCAGTATTCGAGATCACATTGCTGCGATATATTCATGAATACTTCATCAAAGTACTTATTTCCCATTCTCATTATTACACTTGAAGATAATCGTATCCTCTTTCAGTTAATAGTGGGAGAAATTCCTTTTTCCCATAGTACAAAGATAATGATGTTTTTATGTATAAATTAGGTTTTTTGTTGTTGTTTTTTTTAAGCTTTTGGCAATAGCCAATGCATAATGCAATGAATTCCTTCATTTGATCGAATATTCATAAATTGTAAGTCTGAATTGGCATATCATATTAAAATTTTAGCTTTTCATTGACATTTTGGTAGAAAAACCACCATTTGTTGTCATTATTGCTGATGACCATTCAAAAGTTGACAGTTGCAAGATGTAAAAATGTTTAAGTACTGAAATTACAGAATCCATGTTCTACCATACAAGTACATGGCTGAAATATTAAAATAACATACATATTTGAGCAGTGAGCGTGACTGGTTCAGGTCTTTACCTCTTATCCCTAACCAGGATCAATGATTTTACCCCTTACTGCCAGTGGTCATGGCCATGATGCTCCCTTAAAATTGACGCCAGTACTGGTTAGTTACAAAAGCAAAAAGCGAACTTGAGTCAGTGGTTTAGATAAGCTTCAAGTTTGCATCACAGTCAAACTAAAATAAATATACTGAAAGTCATTTGTATAATAAAGCTATTCACAGACGATGGGAAGATTCATCATTCAGTATAGATTAAAATCAGAGTATTTTATCTGTTTTTGCAATCTGCATAAATTTCGTAAATTTATAAAACAAATGTCATTATATCAAAACAAATCATATTTGCAAATTATTAATTCACTTAATGTTAAGGTGCAGTTTTCTCATATAATTTCACTTGTACTGATTCAGATAATGTTTCTGATGTGGCACTGTCAGTTTTAGGTTGTAAGGTTTCAAGTCACTCCGAGGTTACATCCTTGTTTCACATCAATAAATGAACGGGGCGTAATCCAACATGATAATTATGCCTTTTTGTTATTATACAGTTCAAATTATGGATAATTTCATATTGTGGTGACAGTTAAAATTTTGCTTCCTGATGTTTTAACTGAGTTTTACTTGAGGCGTTTTCAGGGGACATAACTCTTTGGTTTATATTTGTTATGATTTATTGTGCATCAGAGATATTGGTATATGACTATATAATAGTGATAAGTCTTGAGGTGGACATGATTGTTTTACATGGTAGAGATGGAGTACAATGCAAAGTGTGTGATTGTTGTTCAATATTGATCAAAAAACCTTGAAATTGACTGTTGTCATGCCAATATATTATCACTTTAAAGCAGTCATTTACCATTTTGTTGCAGATTCACAACTTGCTCCATTGTATGATTTGTTATAATAATTTATTTATGTCTGTTAATGTATAATTGACCAAAAAAAAACTAGTAATGCAGGTTTTAAAAAATACCCCCACAAAGTGTGTGAAATCAACACCAGTTGCTGAATATTGTGTTAAATCTTCTATTCCTGCTCTGTGTGCTGATTCTGTGCTGACTTCAATGATTGATGGCCATTGCTTTAATGGATTTTGTTACCAAAAATATTAATTATCACTGTTCCTGGACAGTGATATAATACAATGAATTTTAAGTTGTTGGCAGAATATTGGTGATGTCATATTTGTGTCAAAATTGGTGGTACTCAAAAAGTAAAGTTATGTGCAGAGTAGATTATATTATTTTTCAATGCTCTGTGTAGGGAACTTTAATAGGACAGAAGAGAATGATGTTATTAATGCTATTCTATCTTACTCAGGTGCAAGCACATTTCAGTTTGATTTCCAACTCCTTGATCCTTTCATCATGCTAATGTATTAATCCTTAATCTACTGACATTGTGTAATAATTTATGCCCAGCTTTGAATTTGGAACAGAGCATTCAAAGTTGATTTCAATATCAAAATACAAAAATTAAGCAATAAGCAGTATGGCACTAGAGCCTGGTTGCAGGACTTGCACAGATGTGCAGGCTTGCCTTGGTCTGTACTTGAAGCAAAGATGAAAGACTTTTTCATTCCAGCAGGTTAAGGGTTAACACAGAGACAGTGGGCGTTCAACAAGACAACCCTGTAGTAGGTGAATTGCTTAAATTGATTATATACTACATGCATTTCTTATGGATTTGATATTTTTTGTGAACAATTATTGGATATTTATGTTTGATATTGGCCAGAAACTTAACTTCGCTGCATGCATGCATGTAGCAAAATATTCTTGCCGGAAAGCTTTCATTTAATATTTAATATGGATTAAATGGCATTGTATTATAATTTAATTCAATTTGCATTGCAATTATCAAATTATAGTTATTGACTTTCAAACATTACTGAACTAGCATTGTTTATTGCATTCTGTAGGTTATTATTGTATTAGTGTATTATTGTATAGTGTATTATTGTATTAGTGTATTATTGTATAGTGTATTATTGTATTAGTGTATTATTGTATTAGTGTATTATTGTATAGTGTATTATTGTATTAGTGTATTATTGTATAGTGTATTATTGTATTAGTGTATTATTGTATTAGTGTATTATTGTATTAGTGTATTATTGTATAGTGTATTATTGTATAGTGTATTATTGTATAGTGTATTATTGTATAGTGTATTATTGTATAGTGTATTATTGTATTAGTGTATTATTGTATAGTGTATTATTGTATTAGTGTATTATTGTATAGTGTATTATTGTATAGTGTATTATTGTATAGTGTATTATTGTATAGTGTATTATTGTATAGTGTATTATTGTTGTATAGTGTATTATTGTATAGTGTATTATTGTATTAGTGTATTATTGTATAGTGTATTATTGTATTAGTGTATTATTGTATAGTGTATTATTGTATAGTGTATTATTGTATAGTGTATTATTGTATAGTGTATTATTGTATAGTGTATTATTGTATAGTGTATTATTGTATAGTGTATTATTGTATAGTGTATTATTGTATAGTGTATTATTGTATAGTGTATTATTGTATAGTGTATTATTGTATTAGTGTATTATTTTTTCTTGGAATGTTGACTGGGACAACTTTTTTGTTGTTTATATAATAGAGAAAATTACATGATTTTCCTTAGTATTGTATGATAGTATTGTCAAGTGGTTATTTAAGACTTGACTCAGGAAGTTTAGTTGTAAAACAGGAAGTAATTTTTATTCAAATCATGTATCCAAAACATTGTGAATATAGAAGGTATTGAATGTAATTAAAAACTTGAATTTTTGAAAGAATTTTAGATTTGCATCAATTGTCTATCTTTATAAACAATTTTATGCAAATGAATGTTTATATAAAGCGCTTTCTTAAAGTAGGACTTGCCTGCTTAAGTTACCACAATTTACTATATCAATTGTGTGACGTACTAGATGATTTTGTAAGTAATGTCAAAATTACAACCAAAACTATGAAAAAAGACATCAAATAAAGGACTATCTATCTATAAATGATCCTACAATTATGTAAAATACGATAAAAGAGGTGTTAGAAAAAGCCAAAAAGGAAAATGAATGGTAAAAGGGGAATAATTAGGGAGAAAGGGAGTTAATTACATTGAAGTGAATTATTGTAAGCCTATTAATGTAAATACATAGCTTATTTTTTAAGCATTGTATCATATAATGAGACTGTGAGAATTATATACATAATTATGTATGATAAAATTGCTTTAAGTTATAATAATATATATATAATGATGCTTCAAAACTGCAGTAGTTTAAAACTTATGAAGATATGAAATAAAACTGTTTCGAAAGTTTGAATAATTTAATAAATTTTAGGGTAGCTAGTGTTATCTATATAGTTTGTCTTGTATGTCATGGAGTTAGGGTGTTTAAACAACTGAACGTACAGTGACTCACTGTATACTGCAGTCTTAAGACAGTTTGTGAAAGATTTTTGAACTTAACTGAAAGTTTTTTTGTTTGTTTTTTTTTCCCTGATAAATACAAAATGTGTTGTAAATCAATGATCCTTTGGATTAAAATTAAATCTTGATAGGGTGCATAAGTGCATAAATTATATTTATTGAAAAAATTTAACTAAAGTAGTAAAGGCAAAATTATTAGGACACTTTTGCTTTTTTTTATATCAAAGTTTGAGATTTTGTGTTTTAAATGGAAAAGAATATGTATTGGATGTTGATAGATTCAGAGGTTAAGTGCCCTTGGTAAGCAAAGCAGTTTGAGTATGTCTGGAATTTAATGGAATTTTGTAATTTTTATCAACATCACAGTGTGAAATGACATTTAAGTCCAATTAAATGCTTGATTATAGTAACTGCATGTCAGACATATTTCCTTAATTTTGTGCAAGGAAAATTCTCTGTATGTACATGTCAGTCTGGAGCTCTTTCTGTTACCAGTATATAATTATGAAATGTGGGCAGCCAAATTCTTGAAGAACCAAACTGTTGATGTAAAAATCATTTTATTTTGCCTGTAGCATTTTTACTTAATTATAGATTGTAGGTTGAAATGTTTAAAAAGTTCTGTCTTAAAGTTTGTCTTAACTGCCTGCAGCTATTCAGAGGGCTATTATTTAAGCACAACTATTTGAAAAATAAGGAGAGCTAAATTGTACGCTGGTAAAGTTTATATATGCATATTGATATCTCCTAAACAACTTGAGGGAATCACTTTTCTGTGATCATGTAGCATGATGGGCACAGGTTCAATAACTCTGAGTTACTTTTTACAGAGTTAATGCCCCTTTTCTTACTGTCAAGCACCAAGAATAGTCAAGCACGCTGTCTTATGGACAGCTCTAGTTATTAAAGATGTTCCTTGTTTTGCTGTAATGCTTGATCTAAGGATTTCAAAATCAAACAAGATGTAAGAGTTAGCATGCTCAGAATTCAGAGATGTGTTTACTAAAAATGGTTGGCTCTTAACAGGTGGCAAAAGCTAAGCTAAAAAAACTTCAGCTGGCATATTAAAATGTTGAAGATGGTCAAAGTTGGGACTAGCAAGATTGCAAGATTTATTTACAGGGAAATAGCTTCATGTCTTGAGTTTCTTTTTTATATGCCCGAAAGGGCATATTATGTTATACCCCCTGGCGTCCGTCCGTCCGTTAGCAATTTGTCCGTTAGCAATTTTGTTAACTTAAGTTCCATTTGGCCCCAAATGTTCAAACTTCATAGGATGGTTGTCCATATTGGGTAGAAGACCCCTATTGATTTTGGTGTCACAAGGGCAAAGGTCAAGGTCACTATTTCTTTGATACTGAAAGTTAGCAATTTGTCTGTTAGCAATTTGGTTTCCGGAGCATAACTTAAGTTTCATTTAGCCCACAATGTTCAAACTGCATAGGATGATTGTCAATATTGGGTAGAAGACCCCTATTGATTTTGGGGTCACAAGGTCAAAGGTCAAGGTCATTATTACGTTGATACTGAAAACAGTTTCAGGAGCATAACTTAAGTGATTTTGGGGTCAAAAGGTCAAGGTCACTATTCCCTTACAATTGAAAACATTTTCCGGAGCATAACTAAAGTTCTTTTTGGCCCACAATATTCAAACTCCTTAGGATGATTGTCCATATAAGGTGGAAGACCCCTATTGATTTTAGGGTCACAAGGTGAAAGGTTTAGGTCATTATTAATAACTTAAGTATTAATCAACCTACATCTTTAAAATTTTATAGGATGAACAGCTAATTCCCATGTCTAATAAATGCTTCATCCTTACTAAAAAAAAACACTTTCGGGCATATAATGCTCCGCCTAGCGGTGCTCTTGTTAATTTATGCAAAAAATATATTGTCACCATAGTACAGTAACAAGTTAACTCCTATTAAATTGTATTAGGAGTTAACCCATTACTGCACTAAGGTGATGATATTGTTATTTAGAAATATCAAACAGGTCAAGGTATCAAGAGCTTATAATATATTTTGTTACAGTCGTATAATATTTGTAATGCTAACTTGGATATATGTTTGTAATGCTAACTTGGATTGTTTTTGTTTTGAAGTTTTAAGTGTAGATTAAAGGTGTAGTCTGTCCTAATGATCAATAGATTGATTTGGTATATACTATCTGGGAATTAATGCCTTAATCAAAGGCAGATGATCTAAATCAAAGGTCATTCAGATTAATTGGCAATTGATCAGCTCTGGTATTGTATTGGATGTGACCTTGTTTGGAATTGGAAGTTACAGGTTTATTGGTGTATGACATGTTTATGTAGATGGGGATACAATTGTTTTATGTATAATTCGATCATATATTGTTTTTTTATTTACAATGAAGAAGTATTTTCTTTGTGATTTAACTGCTATTTAATGTTGTGATAGGGATCTATCAGTTGTAAATAAATAATAACTAGATTGGGTCTGTGTATTTTAGATGTATTATTCAGAATATGATGTGAAATGTTGACAGCTCGTCCTTAAATTCGGATAGAAAAGCCGATCTAGATAGACTGTTGTAGACAAATGGAAGCAAATGTGAAATGAATCTATTCAGATGTTAAAATAGTTAATGCAAGGAGGGATTTATTTATAAGGAGATCTTATCTAGTTTCTAAAGTGCCATTTTAGTGAATTTCTTGTTAAGGGAAATAACACTTTCAAAAATGCTGTCGAAGAAACTTCTGGCCAAAACGGCCTCGGACAGCAATAATGATCATTTTGAGATGCCGGAGAAAATGAGAAATTTAACCGAGGAAGACTTTATTAACAAAGCTCGGGCTGGACGAAAACGTCACAGTGTCCAGTTGGATAAACGAATAACTCAACAATTATTGGAAGCTAAAAGTGACAGACGTTCCAGTAACGCAAGTTCCTATGCTGGAAGCACAGACTCTTTGTGTAAGTTTCATGTTAGAATCACTTAACGCTAAGGATAAGTCGGACATATTTTGGTCAGAATTTCTTAGTTCAAAAGCGTTAACTTTAAAGTGAGTTTGACTATAATGGAATGTCTTTCGTATGCATACCATAAATAATAATTGAGATCATAGTACCAGTATTTAGTAATTCATATAATATTATACCGATACATATGTATTAACATGTGACAAAATTAAACGACAAACCATTGAATTATCTATTTTAACATTATTATATGGGTCAACGGTTGCTAGTTATTTCGAGATACATAATCCAATATTTATGATTCCTACCAGAACCAGATACTGAAAATACAGATTAAAATATTAATGTTGATTATAATTCATACAAAATCGTAAGAAATATTTTATTTATATCCAAATGATAAAGTTCTATTGTTTTTATCAGTTTTTGAAATACTTATGAAAACTGTGCCCTTGTAGACCATAATTCACTTTAAAACTGGGAAGTTAGATTTAATTCTCATCCAATTTTTTTTCCCCCGCCAAGTCTAAATGTCAAAAAGAGGCTTTTAAACTTCAATAAATGGATAGAATTGTGATAAAATTATATAAGACCTCTTAAAAATAATTGTAAAAATATACTGTCTATAATAATATATATAAAAAGCTGAAGGCTGTGAAAAAGACCTTCACCTTTGCCAAGGACTATGATAATTGATATATTTTTTTTGGTCATAATTTCCACTTTTCTGTCAGACTGGAATATTTTCACACCAGTAATACTTGCATTGACAAATGTCATCTACCTTAATAGGTTTCCTCTTTGCATATGTATAATATTTAAGTTGGAACAATCCTAGATTTTATAGGAATAATATGATAACAGTGTCTCTTTAAATTCTTGAATTTCTGCTCTATAATCTAAAGTTACACGTTATCATCATTGTTAATAATGTTTTGATGCCTTACAAAGCTTGTTACATTATGATTTACAATGCTACCTGGACTTAATTAAAAATGACATTCCTGTGTGAATGAATATTACCACATTTTTTTTGTTTGTTTTGATATGAGAATCATAAGTTCTTGGAATATAGAGAATATTTGTTGATTTGATGGACAACATGAAGTCCACCATTGAAACCTGTGTGGGAAGTTTTTGCTCGTATCTTTCGCAAAGTTCTAATAACACTGGTAGGTTTAATTTTTTTCGGGGCGTTTATACAGTAAGTAAAAAGGTAAAATAAAGTTACAATTCAATTTTCATATAAAAAAGTTTCTTATTAGAATAAATTATCGTATCAGATGAATTTTAATTCATTTCTATTGCCATCAAGAAGTGTATTTTAGCTGGAAATATTAAATTATTAGAAATTAAATAAATTAATTAATGCTACAGATGCTGCATTTCCCTGAGATACTTCATTTCTACTTCAACAATTTAATATTTTAAAGGATATTATATAAACCAATAATTGTATATGATTTTGCTTCAGGTATAGTAGAAAATTTTATAACAAAATTAATTGTTTCAGATCATATTTAAAAAACATTTATTGTGTATGTAGTTTAAGTTACTCGTCACCAAAGGCAAAGGTCATTGTCAAAAACTTGCTCTTTCCTATATCAAATTTTCATGAATTTTTTGTCATATCATATTGTTCAGTTCTATGATATTACAATGATAAAATAAAGACAAAGACATGCTTTATAATCCACAAGTCATGTACTTGCTGTTATTATTGTTTATGAGACTGCAAACTTGTAAAAGAATATTAGAATTGTGATGCCCATGTTTCTATATAAATATTGTTAATAAGCCATTTTTGATATAATTTTGTACATACACATATATGCCAACAACTAGCAAGCTAATATGTGGACAATATTTAAACTTATTAAATTAAATCATGCGTAACTGATTGTTTTATTTTATGTTTCAGCATCATATACAGGCAGTTCCTCTGATGAAGAAGATGAAATAAACCCTAGGGAAAAACAACAGGTATCAACATTGTTATTACATCATGACATAGGATTGTTATAAAGCCATTTAATAAAAAACAATATAATTATACACTAATGTAATAACACTTTGACATGATGTCATTTGCGTTTTATACAAACATAGCATTAAAATCATAGGCGCAATGAAAAATGGCTCTTACAAATTGTAAACCGTTCTTATTTTGAATATGTGATAAATAGAATAATATATTTGTGTAGATTCACTACTAAATTTATTGAACTTGTTAAATAAAACAATATTATGCTAGCCACAGGCTCGCATAATATGATTTTATTGAACATGTTCAATAAATTTAGTATCAAACCTACACTCATTCAATATCATCTATATAACATATGGGATAACTTAGAATTTGACAGTGATTCCTAAAGTAATTCCTAGTTTAATTTGCAGTTATGTAGACTAGTGGAGTTCAAAGTTAAAGTATAAGAAAGCTGTCCAGCAAGAAGAACACAAGGTTATGGACCTACTTAAGGTCCATTGTTGCACAGCGCAGAATGAGACTATCTGAAAAAGCCTGAATTTCACCAATATGATACTGAATTTGTGTAATGGAATTGCCCTGCTTTTACTTAATTAATAACTCTTACCCCACTCAATATCTTGAAAGTGTATAAAGCTATATATCTGCTTCTATTAACAAGGTAATTGATATGACAATGGTCAACACATCTGTTTGAGCATAATATTTAATATTATGTTTGTTTAATCTAATGCTTTGTCATAAATGGAAGAGGCTGAAATATACCGGTATTTAAGGTTATAAAACTCCTCCTGAAATCTGTCTTGCATCTCAGGGTTCTCATTGGTCACAGTGCACACTTTGTGCCAGTTTCTGACAATTCAGATACCTGATATCTTAGTTTCCTGGTCACACAGTCAAAGAACACTTAATTATAACACTGATCCATACCTGGCCCTGTACCATGAAACCAAAGTAAGAAATATGTATTGTAAATCAGAGCAACTGACAAAACAAATTAAATGAAATCAGTTTTCCAAATAGTTTGGGGGAAAAAAACCTTCAATAGTTGGAACTGCTCAGGCTCCCAAGAGGAATCAAAACTTAATTAGCATTGTAAATTTGTTGCAGTAAATTGGATTGAAATTGTCTTAAATGTCAGATATTTTGTGGTTTTATTGAATTTACAGAGGGTGATGGTACTTGAATTGATTTGTATTTGTATTTTTGCAGAAAAATTCAAAAGGTTCAACTGACTTCTGTGTGAAGAATATTGACCATGCTGCTTTTGGCAGGAGGGAGATCGAGATTGCTGAGCAAGGTTTGTATTCAATGTTTTATATATCCATAACAGGGCACCAAGGTGTGTATAAAATGTTTTATATATTCATTTAAGTGCCTCCAGGGCTGAATAACTATGGTCACTGACATCCAGTAACTGGTTGTTCATTTTGTTTGGTTTGAATTCTTACTGACTTTGGTGTAAAAAGCTAACAGAACTTGAAGGTTGAAGTTTTTTCTTTTGATGTGTGCTGATTATACAGCCCCGACACAACCGAGCCACATTGGCAGGACACATTAAATGCACTGAACCAAACAAAAAGCTCAAGGGCAGAGAAAGGAGGGAATATAATAAAGAAGATACTGCATAATAAAAAATAAAGATCATTAAGCTGTAGATAAACAAAATAGCAATAACAACAATAAAAAAACCAACATGATTGGATAACTGGCTGTTTAATTACCTGACATATGATGAAGAAAATGTTAAAGGAAAATAATGTTTTAAATTTTTATTACTGTCTATGAAAAGGTGTGAAAAAGTAAGGAAATAAATTGAACACGTCATTCAAGTCGAAAGAAATGTTCTGAAATTGAAATAACACCATAATTGAAGCAGCTATTTTCACAAACTACTTTCCTTACAAATGATAATTTGATGTAAGATATTGAAAAAAATCTGTTTCCTTGGAAACAGATGTATACTTCCCCCACATTGTGGTCATATGACATTTTATGAAGTCATTTTGTAAAAGGAATAAATGGTATTTTACTTGCTTTTATTTTTAGTAAAACAGCTTGCATTACTCAATAAGTATCTTAAATGTCAAAATGTATGCTAATATTTATCCATAATTAAGAGGACTTTTTTCCCCGAATTTGGTCCGATAAAGCTTTTAATTTCAGTTAAAAATAGTCAGTTCTAAAACAAGTTAAACAAGTAGCTATGCAAAATCATAAATAATGTGATAAGAAAATAACTAGCCTATTACATATACAGCTTGAGCATAGTATCGATTGCCTGTTGTATGTACTAAATATGAAGTCATTTCTAGCAAAAGCCATATCAAGGGCTCTTAGTTAAAATAAATAAAAGTATTATAACTTCGAAGCATGTTTGCACGAAATAGAATTTTCCTTTGTTCTGTATTCATCAAATTGATACATTAAGAAAATCACCGAAGTTGTTTCAATATTTTGACTTCAAAAACAAAATATTATATTAAATTCTATTTTTGATTACCTCCCTTTTTCAATTTAGGCTTTGTTTTAATAAAACTATGTTCATATGATATTAACCAGATTAATAGAAAAGCATTTTTCTGTAGAAAAACGGAAAATATATGAATTTGTACGACATTATTATAGTACTGCTGTTTTTTACACTAACATTACCTGACAAGTTTTTTTTGTTGTTCTGATATGACCCTTATAATTTTGTTGATATTTTTCCCTCTAATTCCCATGTCTGACAACTAGAGCAGGGGATTATGCACAGCTTTCACATTGCTTTTTTAAGAAATGAAGAACATTTTCTAACTCATTAGATTCCTCAGGGATGACAAGAATCTGAATGTTAACAATTTGAATGTCTTTTACACGGTGAAAACAGTTTTAAAATATCCCACAGTCATATAACTGTAAATTTCTTTTTTATGTCAAAGAGTTATCGTTTGACATTAAAATGATTATTGAAGTAAATGCAGTGAAAAATGATTGTTGAGATGTCTGTAACCGGGAGTTTTAATACTTACTGATCAATCCACATTTAATAATATCATTGTACATGTCAACAGTCAAAAACTCTCTAGTTGTATAAGTATGGAAAGATTTATTAAATTCATGAAATATTCATTGAAACATAAGTTATAGTTGATGTTTGTAACACAGATAACCTAACAGCGGCAATATGAAAGAGCTATGGTCAGAGGTTGTTAATAAGTAATGTCACATGCATTTTATTGATGATTTTATAAGCCTGAATTTTA